GTTTGCATCATGAGATACCTTGTGCGGAAGTCGAATATAAGAAGCAAAATGGGGGGAAAGGTAGGAAAAGCCTAGGCTTTGGTAGAGGTTCTGGAATCTGAGAACCTTCTTAGGTGGTGAGGCTAAATAACAGGGATTGAAGAATATTGTCAGAACCCCAGGGGATCAATACACCCCACTGCTGGGCTACCCCTGCTGGAGGGATGGAACAGCGCTGTGGGAGACCCTCCAGGGCAGTAAGCCACCAAATCTGGGCTTGAAATGCGCCGTGTATTTTCCTCTTCCTGATTTTCATCTTGCTAATTCTTTCTGTCTTACGAGAGTGTTAACATGTTTATTTTGAAAAAATATCAACTGAGAGAAGAGGCAGATGGCCCAGAAATAGGCTACATTGAAAAGAAAAGCCAAGGCGGTATTTAAAACCAGGTGCAGACTCTCAGGAAGCGAGCGGTGTGTGCGCATCATCACAGGCAGGTTCATCAGGACTGAGGCAGTAAAAGGGGCCATTGCCTGAACTTATTTTGCAAGTTAAAAATCTATCTCAGTTTGCTTGACTAGAAAAGCAGGAAGATTTCATGAACTTAAAATGTAAAATGCAGATGTAGCCAAGTGGCTGGGGCTAACTCAACCCCAGCAAACTCAGGAGCTGCAGGCCGCGCTGCTGTCTGGCCTCCCAGCAGCGAAGAGAAGGGCCTGCAGGCCTCAGCTTGGATGTTTCAAAGAGGATTCATCTGGATTTGTCAATGGGAGAGTTGCACATAGAGTCCACAAGAAAATACGGAACATCTCTGTTGAGAAAACATTCAGGCAAAACAGTTGGGTGCATCTGCCATGAAATAATCCTAACACAGGGAATCTTTTCTTGACAGCTACTTGTTAGGAAGAGGGGCAAGCAGAGACCCTGTTCTCACCTGCGCCTAGGAAGCATCCCACACTTTTGAGCATCTTTCTTCACATTTTCCAAGTCCTCCTCTGGTTGTGCGGACCAGCTGGGGCCGGCAGTGCCATCTGGTCAGGGGGTCAGGGCACCCCGTCTGCACCCGTCCTGCCCCTTTGGAGCACTCTCTGACTCTGCTCCATGGGGAGGGTCTGTCCAGGACCCAGGAACTCTGGGGCTCATACCCGCCTGTTGGTCCTGGAATGTGTGGTCAGGACCGTGACTGGTGAGCAGACTGCCCCCACATGCCAGCCCTACATTTCGCTTATGGCATGCCCTGAGATCAGCTACCAGAATGGTGCTAACATGCTCACTTCAAGTGACTCCAGTTGTTCATGTGGATGGAGGCCTCTCTCCAGAAACATTTGTTCAGGGCCACAATCCCTAAGGAAAGCTCTAGTGGGAAAATGGGTGAACATCAGCATTAAAGTTGTCATCAAGTCAGAATAAAAAGCAGTTCAAAACATGCGTTGAAGACAAAAGAAAGAAACAACCTTGCATGTAAGCATATTCTCTCTCTGTGTGTGTGTGTGTGTGTGTGTGTATGCTCTTTTGGTCTTTATCTCTTGTTCAATTCTTACTTATATATCATAAACATGGTTTACAAGGACATAATCTCTTAAAGCTTTGTTTTTAAAATGTTTCATCAAACACCCATTTCCTAGGAAATATTTGGGGAGAAAGGGGGGACTGTTTGAGAAACTCTGATGTAAATAGCACTTTTGTTGCACACATTATCAGAACCATCAATATCTAGACCATCAATATCTAAAGCAAAAGGGGGTGTGACCCCTCCCAGCCACATATGACCAAGGACCCCTTTTCACATCTTATGGGACTAGATAGAAAATGCTGTTTAAAAAATAAAGCATTGGAACACATACACACAAAGACTTTCTTTCTATTAAAGTTCTCAGGAAGAAAATACAGGAAGGGATAGGTTTGTCCTTTGGTGGTCCCAATTTTACATGGACAGAACCAGAAAAGCAAGATCTGCCTTTTGGTCTTGATGCTCAGGCATCTCCCTGTAAGCAGGCAAGGACATTTCCCAGAGAGGACCCGATGATAATAGTTCAGGTCTGGGGCCATTAGAGGGCTCTGCAGGCCTGAGGGATTTCTGTTTCCACTTCCAGGACACACTCAAGACTTGAGAATTATTGCTGTGAGAGGGCCTGGTGTACGAGACACACAAAGCCACCACAGAGGAGGAAGTTTTCAATCACCGTCTCTTGAGTTTCTGGGTGGGATTAATACAAATGCTTTGCGTCCCCACTAAACACATGTAGAAATAGCAAAGGAGGGCATATACCTGTCTGTTAAACGCAGAATGACTCATTAAACTTTTTAAAAATATCAAACTAAAGGACAAATGAACCATCTATATTATCATAAATATATGTATCTGGCAGAAAGCATTTTCATAAATACCTCAGCTTTGCATACTCTCCTTCCTTGCAGTTAGCATCTCATTTTCTCCTGGAATTTCTATTTATTCTTTCTCATCATGTCCAGAAACACTATGGTCCAGATAAGACAATCCATTCACTTATAATATGCAGCCCGACATACGATCTGATCAACACATATTACATTATAAGCACACAGGTGTGTGTCCTTGTGTGTGTAAGTCTAACAACCCTACATATGGAACATTTTACATCACATTGGTTGAACTGAGCAGCTGTAAATGGTCCATGGCGGCATACACTTCAGCGGGCCCTCTGCCTGGAAGAAACCTCTTGACTCCCTGTGGTGCTTTGCTCGTGGCCACACGTTTGTACCATGTGGAAATCTGGGCCTAAAACAGTGGTCCTCTCAGGGTGACCCCATGACCAGCAGCACCAGCAGCATTTGGGACCCTGTTAGAAATCCAGATGCCCCACCCCAGACCTGCTGAATCAGAAACTTTGCTGGATGAAACCCCAAAGGGCCCTAATAATGCAAAATGGCTCTTACTGTACCTATAGGAATAAGCAACTGAGAAAACTGTCAAGGTGTTTTGGGAAAAGGCAGCCTCTGTACAGTTTTCTTTTATTTTTTTGCCTCTGTAGAGTTTTACATAAAGTTAGATATTTTCACTCAATAAGCCAGAAAGGAGAGGGAGCTATTAATCGCTGCTTCCTTCCCTCCTTGTCCAGCCCAGCAGGGTCACTGCCTCAGCCCAGCTCTGAAAGCACCTCCTCCCCTTCCTGATCCTGAACTTCTCCACTCTCCCTCTATGATCCTGGCAAAAGTGAATGCTCTTACAAGTACTTAGGGGCCCCTTCTGCCTTTTACAATTTTGAAAAGTGCCTTGTTTCTTTCTCCCCGTTCTGCCCCGACCATCAAGGACCCTTATATGAGCCAGCAAACTGCAAATTAAAAAGGCACATTTTAAGAGAACACTTTGGAGCCCCATCCTCACTTCAGAACTAGTCTACACGTCACATTTCTCCTATTTCAGTTGTCTCCGTGCTCAGTGGAGATGTTCTCAGCTAAGTGCGTGTAGCTTCCAGGAGACCACAGTCTCTGTGGTGGAATTGAGAGGATGTTCTTGGAAAATCCGGGTGAAAGCAACTTGAGTAAGGGTATTATCACCTTAAAACACTTTCAGTTTGAAAAAGATGTAGTGAAAAAGAGAATGAAGCTGAGCACTTAATAGACAGAAAAGGACAGCACAATGTGGAATTAAAAATGCTCAAGTTCGGTGCCAAGGCAACCGTGGATGCTGGGTAAGAGCCTTTGGTTCCAAGACAGCTCTCCCTGGTGGCACTTGTGTACCCACAGACATAATTTGTCCCTGCACCGATAAACATGCAACTCCCATCCTCAAGGAGCTGCTACATCACATTTCAAGGCCTAGTAAGCTCACCAAATTCAGCACCTCCTACCAACAGCAAAAGAAGGAAAATAATAGCTAAAAGCATTGTACCTGCTGATAAATGCCCTCCAAAAGGATGAAAGATTATCATTTGCCACTGAATTGCTTCTGAGTTTTTAATTTCTGAGCTCCCTGCTATTAGTACATCATTTCCGTTATTATCAACAGGATGTGACTGTAATGGGCACAGTGCACACAGCGTTGTTATTGATGTATTCAGTAATGACAGTGCTGAGTTCACACATCTTGTAAAATATAAACATTATTTCTGAACTCTTGGAGGACATGATATTGGCATGACTTCTCTGGGGACTTTCACTCTTACAATGAAGAGATGGTTTTGACAGCATTAGGAGCAGCTCTGCAAGTCATTCTCCAGGCAGTGGGACAACCAGGTTGCTTGCAGGGACAGGCCTGCAGTTCACCAAGGGCAGCAGTAGGTGGAGCACATGCACCCAGGTGCCTTCAAAAGCAGGATAAACACTGGTGTTTCCTTTTGCCAAATCGTGTAAATGGATACATTTACTCCACTGAAGGTCAAGAGACTTAAAAATATTCACCTCTATTCATCTCATTTTCCTATTCTCTACCAGGAATCAATATGAAAGGAATAACAGAAGGTGAAAACATGAATTAATATACATTAATTCATTAGAGTGCTGGTGAAGTAACATAAATATTGGAAGCAACTTGCGGCCATAATCAGGGGTTGGTATGTCCACCTGAAAGAATACTCTGGTTAAACTTTTCTTTTTTGAAAGGACAATATTATGACATCAAAAAAATGCCCGAAGACTAAGTAGAAAAGTCAGGAATATGTAACAAAACAATCTGAATTTTGTGGTGCAAAATAAATGTACACCTAGAAAAAAAAGGCCAAGAGAAAATAAACCAAAGTGCACCAGCAGCTCAGGACAAGTGGTACAATGTAAGTGATGATTAAAATTCTTCATTTTACACTCTTGAGTTTTTCCCCAAATTTCTTCAATAAATATATACTAACTTATTAAAAAATGAGTATTTTCAAGTACCATATGACCCTCAAATGAGGATGCTTTAGACATACCAAGTAACTGAAGCAAACCTGCATGAGAACTGAAATTTCGTGGCTGACGCAGACATCACCACTTTCTTCAGAGCTGTCCTCCGAGGGTCCATCCACCTTAGTATTTTGCGCACATCAGCTCAATGCCAGATACTCACCTGGGAAGGTGTTGTCACATTGATTTCAGGAACAAAGTTGTCCTCAAAGAAACTGATGATGTTCTCTTGCTGCAGCTCCTTTGTCGGGGTGACTTTAGGCAGAGGAGGAAGAGGAGGCCCTTTCCTTGTCTGTGAAATGTCAAACACAAACAAACTAGTTAATTCACAAAGATGACAGGCAAGACATGTAGAAATGCCACACGAACAAAGCAGGGGCACAGACTGATCACTGCCTGAAATTTGGATGTGCAGACAGAAATGGGTCTAGGTGATTCAGTGAAGGATGCTGTCTACCTCAGTGGCCCTCTGAGCAGTGCCAAGCAAAGGAAGCAAAGGCCCAAAGAGAAAGACTTGGCTATGAGATTCCATCCAGCTCAACAAGAGTGCTACACAGGCTTGCCGGGCCGCGCACCTGTGGCTCTAATGTTGAACTAAGGCAATGCCCTCTCTGAAGGAAACTGAAAGTGATTGCTCTCTTCAGCAATAAATTAGAATTTTAAAACTAAAATCAAGCAAGCTTTTTGCTGGACTCAGTGAGAACACCTATAGGCAGGATGCATTTCACTTTCCACTCCAGTGTTTTGAAAGTAAGAACTCCAAAGACCTGTCTACTGCATATGTCTTTCTAGGACTTCCCTTAGTTTTGACTGTACCCATGAAAATTTGAGCTGAACTGGAGACTCCAAGTTTCCCAACAGGAATTTCATTTTTGCACAAAGTAGGGAAGAGAAGGGCAGCAGGTTTTCTCTGTATTTCCTCCTGCCAGCCCTTACTGTTTCTTTCAGTCATTTGTTGCCCTCATTTGTGTTGAGAGTCTGTTCATGTGCAATATACTGTGGACAATACCACTGTGGGCAATGGCATATAAACACAATGCTTTTCCTGGCTGTCCTTGCCCTGAGGGTCACCTACAGTGCCAAGGACAGAAGTTCCACAGAGAAGACAGGCATAAGTGGGGCTGGAAGGGAAGATTCTGGGAGCAGATATGGCAGAAGAGGACAGCGTGCGAGCCTGAGGAAGCTGCAGTGGTGGAAGCAAGTCCCAACACACTCAAAGGTTGGGTGTGTGAGGAAACATGAAAGTCCAAGTAAGAGAAATAAGTGGGGGGCTCCTTAGTGACACCCACAACGTCTAAGGCCTCACATCTTAAAGTTTCTCCAGCTGGAAACTTCTTACTGCCCCAGCACCACAGATGACCCTAGATGGGGTCGTCGCACCATTAGTCCCTTCACTTCCCCCAAGGTATTTGATGTCATCCTACCTGTGAGGGTGACCTGGGCCTGGCCGGTGCAGGAGATGCAGGTGCCAGCGTGTGGTTGGGACTAGCTGTGGGGCTGGGCAGTGGAGAAGGCTCCTCTGGTGGTGACGGCGTCTTGGCGATGCGGAGAGGGCCAGAGTCACTAGACAACACACAAGAGTAAGCAAGGGCCTCCCAGGCACAGTACTTGAGAGGTCCTCCAGCCCAGGAGAGCCTGAGGCTTACTAGGTAGCGTGCTATCTATGCCCCCTTCCAGGTGAACTCTGCTTATTAGTAACAGTTATGGCGATAATTGGTGCCATATATTGCCCACTGTGGGCCAGACCCTATTCATGTATTATCTCTTATCGCCATGATATCCATGCATTACTGTTACCACTTGACAGGTAAGTACAGAAAGGTTAAAATCTCTGAAGTCACTCAGCAATTTAATGGATCTGAATTCAGGTCTTAATAATACAAATCCCTGTTCTCTCCACTGTGCCAAAGAGGATCTGTAAGAATCTTCCAAACATAAGCTGAATTGACTTAACTGATTTCACTTTTGAATGCAAGAGAATCCTGCAGCATCATAATCTACAGAAAAATCAACTCTGAAAATTATAACTGTTAGGCTAAAAGGCATCCTTAGGAGAGTGTTAGGATTTTGTATGAGTGCTTTCTGATAACATTTGAAAGTCAATTCATTAACTGTTTTTCTTTCTACACCTTCTAGAACAAGGACTCAATGCAGACACATTGAAATATGCAAACAAATAGGGTGACAGACACTAGTCACTGATCTACTTGGAGCCTTGCCCTGGTCCGGGCACAAGTTCACAGAGGCTTGGGAACTGCTCAGATGCAAAGACTAGGAGAACACGGGCCACACTGTAATCTCTAAGAATCTCTAAAGTCTACAAATTGAGGGAACAGGGTATGTATCCCAAAATAATTAGCATATACAGCACAGCATGGCTCAAGAGACTGTGGGATTGGTCCTGGAAAGAACAGGATACCTGGTGTGTCTGGGCTGGGCACCAGCAATTACGGCCTCTGAGGAGCACAGACCCAGGCTATGCTTAACAAGAGACCCCACTGAGTGCACCACCCCTCGTTCTGCAGAGCAACGCTGGAACAAATGAAAGCCACATCATTTCTTAAGTGGTTCTGAACCCCCTTTCTCTTCATTCGATCTGACTCAGCAACATTGAAATTTTCAGATGCATTTGCTCCTTCGATAAGGGAGAAAAACTTCGTTTTTTTCATGTATTTCATTTCTAAAACACCCAAACATTACAATGTTTATTTTTCTTTCTCTATAGTGAAATGACCTTATTGAAAACAGTGACTCTCCACCTTTCATATATTCTTTTAGGCAATGTTCTGTCCCCAAGAAAGATAACACGTACTTACTGCTCACACACTGAGCAGCCTTGGAAAGACCGCAGTATAGCTAATGCAAAGAGCATCGAATAAGAAAATCAGCAATCTCCAGAGAGATCCAAACACTAACATATGGTCATGGTGGTGTCTGCATAGAAGTGGGTATGTTTTTATAATACATGTGTATGAGCATATACATTGACTGATATTAAAATCACAAATACAGAATTACAGGACTACATGTTACCTTAGAAGCCATTTAGTTCAACAACATCTATTTTTTGTCTATTAACTAAAAAAAAATGAGTCCTAAACCAGAGAGGTTATTGGACTTACTCAAGGAATGCAGAACACATTAATAGAGAGTCATGAACCCGAAAGTTGAGTCCTCTAACTTCCAGCCCTAGGCATTCCTTGAGGATGTAATGCTGGAGAATGATGGAATAAAGGGATTCCAAAATCATGGAAATTGGTATGAAGCCAAATCCTGGCAAGGCAGACAATTTACCTATGGATCGCTCACTGTGGTATATCTGACTGGCATACTCAGCTTAACAATGAGCAATAAAGCCAAGAATAGTGCAGGGTTTTTGAGGTCAAGTTAGAGGTAAGGTGATGGGATGTCTCACCTACTTCCTCCTTCCTTTCCCAAAATGGATTCATCACAGATGCCAGCACCAACATTAAACATGAGGACTACATGTCTGAGTTTGAGGAACTCTTTTCTTCTCCAAAGAAAGTAACAAATGCACAACTAGAAATTCTCTGTTAAAACTTCACACTGCCACTGTGAGGTCCCATGGAAAGCAGAGAGCGGCAGCCAATTCTATTGTATCAGTAATAAAAGCCCATGCTGGGTGAATCTGAAGGCTGCAGGTGAATGTAAAAGCACAGAACTAAGGCTGGTGTCAGCCTTCACAGGGAAAAGCAACTAGGCACTAGATTTTTACAAAACGAGTAAACTAGTACAGGCTGGTACAGACTGAAGAAATCAAGAAACATCACATAAAGGTGGACGTGAACTGGGCTCTGATGATGTGGCCTACCTGGGAGCTCCTTGAATGGTGAAGGCCTTGTCGGCGTGCTCGTCTCCCAGCTTCGTCATCACTTCATACAGTCTGTGGCAAAGCTAAAGGGACAGGGGCCGCTGGTCTATTAGCTGCAGGTCCTCCTGGGGCCAATCAGGCTGTTGCCCCAAGAAAGGAATGGTTTCTTGAAAAACTAAAAATCTTATGACAGTATGGATGGTCTCAGGATAATGCAAATCTGTATCTGGTCCAATTTAAAATTCATGTTGAAACAGGAAGGCCACAAACACAAGTAAACTAACAAAAGCACATCAAAATATATTTATTAATGAGTAGGGAGCTGAAAGCAAAAACTTATTGTTTACATCGACTCTATTAGAGAGAATGTCAAACAGCTATCATGCTGAACTCGGAAAATACCAGTTGAGTTATCTGAATATCTGAAGAACAATTTTTCTTCAGCCTTAAAGTATCCTTTGGAACTTCAACTTTAAAAAATGACTGGGAAAAAAAAGATTGTGACAATGAGAAGAATTTCAGAAGAGAAATAAAAGCAGGCAGTAACTAATGTTCATTTTTGTATGAAAGCATTTTTGTAAACCCACAAATTTTTTTTAAGACATGGAGAACTATGTGGTCATTTCAAAAAACTAGCAATATTGCTGAGAGCAATAACACACTATGAAAAGGAACATGCAGGTGAGCAGATTTTTTGCATAACGCTCTGCCATTCCATTTGCTTTCAGAATCAGTGTTCATTTACTTTATCCTAAGTAAGAATAATCATCATCACTTACCACTGCAATCTCCTTATGAAACTTGGCCTCAAGGCTAGAGACATTTTTGAAAGTGTTGACATAAAATCCAACCCGTCTACCATGTGGAAATACAAAAACAAAAGAAGAGAGGGAGACATCTCAGTATAATTGTTCCTAATGGCGAAGAAATGCATTAAAAACAGGGTTTCCTTTATATAATTTTGAAAAGCATTGCATTAAATAAAAATATTAACCCAAAGAATGACGTGCCTTTCCTGATCTGTTAATAAACAAAAATAACATCATTTGGCATCGAACACATCCTCCCCTAAAATGTAGTTAATACCTTAAGAGAGTGGATCTCACACTTTCCTGTCATCAGAATCACCTGCAAGTTTGTTTCTGATTCAGTAGCTCTGAGGTGGGGGCAGAGAATTTGTATTTCTAACAAGTTCTAGGTGGCACTGATGATGCTGGTTCAGAGGGAACACTTTCGAAACCAAGGCCCTGAGAATTTGTTCATATTTTAGATGCGTATCATGTAAAGGATTTGAGACGGAGAAATTCATTTTTAATTTTTAGAACACATAAATGGTCTAGTTTTGGTATCATATATTTGGGCTCTAAAATATGTTTGACAGAGGGAAGTAAAAAACCTACCAATTTGTTGCAATCCTGCATGTTTTTATGGAGCACAGCATTTATTTGCAGCAATAGCTATTTGCAGCCCCTAGCCATGTTTGCATGGGGGAGAGGAGAGGACCTGAACTCTCTGTGAGGAGGCTAACTAAGGCAGCAGCTGGGAGGGAGGGAGAGACTGCAGTTACCCTGACAACACTGTGCAGAGGGACCTGACTCTTTGTATCATTTGCAGAGAAGTCACCCTGGGACACTTTGAATGACAACACAGGAGTCCTTCTCTAGGGCCCCGATCAACCAGACAGTAATTCCTCATCCCTTTCCTCATTCAATTACTCCACAAAGGGCCTATCCAACTGTGGGTGCATGTCTGGTGGGGGGCTAAGGTGGCTGCAGGAACTAACAACGATGTTAGAGGAACCCCCTGAGCGGCTGACTCATGAACACATATGCTCGATTCATACTGGAGAGGAAAGGCAGCAGATCTCAAATAGCATGTGAATGTTAAAGTTACCACAAAAGGGCCTACACAATTAAATACCAAAAATTGAAGACATACGCACAGAAATAGTTGAAGGAACTGAGAGAGAGGGTAGTAATGGCCCTGAGCCAGCTCCAAACATTTGTTTGACAGGAGACAACAGGCTGCCCTGAAGAACAGGTCAGATTTGAGAGAAGGGGGTGTTCGGACCAGAGGGGGGGATGCAGTTGAATTTGGTGGGTATTATTTTACTTTCACTGATTTCACACTATGATGAACAAAACCCTACTGAAGAACTATGAAACCTTGCACACAGCTTTACTATTTCCTTAGGAAATGTTTCTTGAACGGAAATGCTGTGTGCAAGGTACAGATGATGGAAGATTTGATGTGTGAGGCCAAACTGTCCCCACACAGACAGGGCCTCTAAAGTCCCTCCACGTTGAATGTGACTTTATCTGAAACCTTTGTAAAATTTATTCAGCAAGAATTAGCTTGCATCTTGCTGACTTTTACATTTATATTCCTTTAATTACCGTTAACACTTTTTTGTTCATTTATTTTGGCCCATTTGTACTTCTTTTGTGAGTCACCTATTCATAGTTTTTGCCTATTTCTTAGTGCTTATATTTTTCTTATTTATTGGTAAAGGATTTTCTATTAAATGTGTTGAACTTGGAGACATTTAGGAGAAACAAGAAAGTATTCTTCTGTCTTTAAATTTTGTTTTCTCCTAGACAGCACATCTTAACTTGTCTCTTAATTATTATTTGAGAAATCAGTGGCACTGAAATAAATACCTTATTTAGAATGACTAAAACAAGTGTCTATAATTTTCTAATATTTTCATGGTTTCTTTTTATAATTTAGAAATTAAATCAACTACAATATACTTAATTTGGAAAAAAAGCATTCAACATTATTGATGCAACTGATCACGCAGTGATTTTCTCCAATTTATGAAATCAGAGACTCTTTCAAAGGAGTTGCTAGTTCACTATCACAGACAGGCCCAGCACCTGGTCAGAGCAGGCACGCCACGAGTGTCCCGTGAGTGAGTGAACGAATGACCGAACAAGCCAGTAAGTGAACAAATGTGGCAGTGGATCCACCGGAATGGCATATTCTGACTGTAACTTTGGATTGTGAAAAACTGGTGCCACCAGCAGTGAGATACACACCCACAGAGAGGACCAGGCTCTGAATACTGATATTATCTGCTTGGCAGGTTTCATTTCATAAGCTCCTCATAAACAAGGGACTCTGAGACATTACCATTTCCCTAAAGGACTTCTCCGAGGCACCTACAGGCCCCTTCTGGTTAGCTGTCAAGACCAACTTAATTTCTTTATTAAGATGTTTCTTTGTTCTTAGGAATAGTGAAAGGATTAACAACAGCTGAGCTATCACAGCCTGAGTTCGCAGGGAGGACATGCTCCCCTCTGCCTTGCCCTGAGGGAAATCTGCCTCCCTCGGTGGGGTCTCACTGCTCCCCCAGAGCCCCTGCAATGGAGAAGGCTTCCTCCGCCGCCCCTCAGTGAGGGGGTTGGGGAGGAAGAGCTTTCTTCTGGCACTCCTGTGACCGTCTGAGCTCATCTGCACCGGTCCTCTGAGCTCCAGGCCGCGCGCATTCAACCTCTTCACAGCCTGTCCGTCAACCTCCCAGCACCGCCCCCAGCACAGCCCCGTTCGTGGCCCACAATGGCGCACGCACATCTCGTGGCTTCCCTCGCTGTGCTTCCCCCAGTCCTCAAACACAGCAGATGGGGGCATCCTGAGGGCTGTCCAACCAAAGCACGGACTCCTAACGTGGTGACCTCCGTGCCCAGCACCTTTATTTATACATATTATGCAATGAATTACTACTGCATGTCGGGCATCTTGCCATCACTCACAACTGAAGTAAGAAGGTCAGTGGCCTACACGTGCGCCTGATTCCCCAGGCTGCTGGAGCCTTCCTTCCTTCTTTTCCATTCCCTGGCTGACTTGCTGATTCCTCAGAGAGCACAGCGGCTGTCCTTCCAGGCTACTGCCCCCCTCAGGTTCCCCATCTTGCATCATTAAGCAGGGGCCCTATGGTTTGCCTCTCAGCACTGTCTGGTGGCTCTGTCAACACCCCGTCCTTGTCCTTGTCCTCACACCCTACATGCCCCACGTCCTCAGTCCTAAATCACCCCACCTCTTCCACTCCCACTGTCATCTTCTCAAAATGGTGAAAGTTCCTGTTCAAGGCTTCCCTTGCCTTGTCATCCTGCTGTCACTATCCCTCATTCCTTCCACCACAGCAGAGACGCTCAGAACAGCAGATGACGTCTACAGCTGCTTCCTCGTCTCCCACGGACCCTCCAGGGCCAGGCACCCGCTCCTGACTCCACCACAGCAGGAACCTCTCGGACGCTCACGGAAGGCAGTGCCTCTGCGGGCCTCATCCACTCCATCTCTTGCGCATGACACCGCCAGCACGCTCTCTCTCACCTACACAATTCTCTCCATTCTTGGTGTTTTGAGAAACTGCTCTTCCAGGTCTCTCCCTACGTCTCTGATGATTTCTTCTCAGGCTCTTCTTCAGCAGAGCCCTTATATATCAGTGCTCTTAAAGGTTCTTTTTGCCCTCATCTTGCCACCTGATCTACCTCACCACCTACCTCACCCACCTTCAAGACACCAACTACTACCTCAAATCTCTTTTTGAGCTCCAGATTTAGTTAGATCAATGAACATATCCTTTTGGAGTTCCTAATCATTCCTCAAACTCAGCATATATAAATACAATGGAACTGAGTACTTCCATAAACCTTCCCTTTCTTCATGTACTATCCACCTCTCTGAGAGAAGCCTCCCCTAGCCACCCAGTCTACACTAGGTACTCATCTGCTGTCATGCTCCACTCCATTACCTTGTTTTATTTTCTGCATTGAACATATTGTCTGATATTTTACTCTTTATTTCTTTTCTTGGTAATTGCCTTTCCCTATCCTTCAGTGTAAGCTCCAAGAAAGTAAAAACCTTCAGTGCAGGATCTTTAGCACCTGAAAGAGTGCTTGGCCCACAGTAGGTGGTCAGTTGACATCTGCTAGGTGATAATGAGTGAATCTGACACCGCCTCTGTCCTGCTTTAACACCACCACCATCCTCCTCAACCCTGGCACTCTGACCTCCAGCTACAATAAATGAATTAAAGTTTCATGAACTCACATATCTGTTTCAATCTCCATGCCTTTATGCCTTTATTCATATTTTTCCTCAGCCTAGAAAATCCTTTTCACTAAATGGTGACTTTACTCATTTTAAAAGAAACAGCTCAAGCATTCTCTTTGGAGCCCTTCCTTCTTTGTGATACCTCTCTCTCTCTCTCTTATGAATTGTAAGCTCCTTTAGAATGTACAAACACACCCTAATGTTTCCTCTTCTAAAATAGAACCTGCATCCCCCTCTAGGTAGTATTTTATTTCTTTTTTCCCTGATACATGCAAAATTTTTAAAGAGTTTGCTACATATGAGGATAATGGAGGAATAGATGAACAAAAAAGACACAAGACATAGCAAACACCAAACGGTAGATACACTGCCTACTTTATCAGTTATTATATAATGGCCTCAGCATGCCATTAAAAGATAGAGGCTGGCAGAATGGATAAAAGACACACACACAAATCCAACTGTGTATGTGCAAGAGACACTTTACAGGCACAAACAGGTTGAAAGAAAAAGAAATTCATTCATGCAAAGAGTAACCAAAAGAGAGCTGAGGTGGCTATAGTAATATCAGACAAAATAGACAAAATGTACTACTAGAGACAAAGGAGGATATTTTACAAAGATAAAATGGTCAATCCATCAAGAAGTTATGCTAATTATAACCATAAATACAGCTGATCTTTAATAATGCAGAGGTTAGGGCTGCCAAACCTCCATGGAATTGAAAAGCCAAGTATAACTTTTTACTCCCCAAATTTAATTTCTAATGCCTATTGTTGACCAGAAGCCTTACAGACAACATAAACAATCAATTAATACATATTTCATATGTTATATGTATTACATACTACAGTCTTGCAATAAAATAGCCAAAGGGGGGGAAATGTTTTTTCAAATTGTCACAAATCTCCAAGAATTTTTCCAGTATGTTTACCGAAAAAAATCCAAATATAAGTTAACCTGTGTAGTTCAAACCTGTGTCATTCAAGGGTCAATGGTACATTTAACAACAATGCTCCAAGACACATAAAACAAAAGCTGACAGAATTGAAGAGATGTGAACAATTCACCAGTAGTAACTGGAAATTTCAGTGTCTCATTTTCAATAATGAAAAGAACAACTAGGCAGAAAGTTGATAAAGAAACAGAAGACTTGAACAATACTACAGACCAATTGCACATAACAGACATATACAGAATATTCCACCCAACATTTTGAATGGCTATGAATAGTTCAATATAGGATTTCAGCCATTAATGAGTCAAGAAATGCTTATTACAATGTGTTCAGTATTATTCAGTTCACCACAAAAGGCAAAGAATATACCAGAGTACTACCAACCTCAATTTCAAGAGGGAGCAATAGGGCTTGAAGAAAACATGTGTATTTATGAAATAATTTTATGAAATAAACTCTATTTAGGGAAGTCTGCATACAATTTCATCTTAAATAAAAGAGAGGCACTAAATACAGACAGCAGGGTTTATAGGAAAAAACACTGAAATGTTTTAAGTGCCAGCTTGAAGATTTATAAACCTTATAAACTTCGGCAAAGTGTTTGACCAATATGATCCTTAGCTTCCTCATCTGTAAATGGGGATATATATATATATATATATATATAT